TCCCGTTGGTCGCGGTGCAAAAAACAGTCAAAAAAAATCGTTAGTGCGCATGCGCGGACGATTTTTCGTCGAAATATTGCTGCCAACCTCGGTATTTATCTGTTTTTGGCGTCCCGTTGGTCGGTGCACAAAAACAATCAAAAAAAATCGTTAGTGCGCATGCGCGGACGATTTTTCGTCGAAATATTGCTGCCAACCTCGGTATTTATCTGTTTTTGGCGTCCCGTTGGTCGGGGTGCACAAAAACAGTCAAAAAAAATCGTTAGTGCGCATGCGCGGACGATTTTTCGTCGAAATATTGCTGCCAACCTCGGTATTTATCTGTTTTTGGCCGTCGTTTCGCGGTGCAAAAAACAGTAAAAAAAATCGTTAGTGCGCATGCGCGGACGATTTTTCGTCGAAATATTGCTGCCAACCTCGGTATTTATCTGTTTTTGGCCGTCCCGTTGGTCGCGGTGCACAAAAACAGTCAAAAAAATCGTTAGTGCGCATGCGCGGACGATTTTTTGTCGAAATATTGCTGCCAACCTCGGTATTTATCTGTTTTTGGCCGTCCCGTTGGTCGCGGTGCACAAAAACAGTCAAAAAAAATCGTTAGTGCGCATGCGCGGACGATTTTTCGTCGAAATATTGCTGCCAACCTCGGTATTTATCTGTTTTTGGCCGTCCGTTGGTCGCGGTGCAAAAAACAGTCAAAAAAATCGTTAGTGCGCATGCGCGGACGATTTTTCGTCGAAATATTGCTGCCAACCTCGGTATTTATCTGTTTTTGGCGTCCCGTTGGTCGCGGTGCACAAAAACAGTCAAAAAAAATCGTTAGTGCGCATGCGCGGACGATTTTTCGTCGAAATATTGCTGCCAACCTCGGTATTTATCTGTTTTTGGCGTCCCGTTGGTCGCGGTGCAAAAACAGTCAAAAAAATCGTTAGTGCGCATGCGCGGACGATTTTTCGTCGAAATATTGCTGCCAACCTCGGTATTTATCTGTTTTTGGCCGTCCGTTTCGCGGTGCAAAAAACAGTAAAAAAAATCGTTAGTGCGCATGCGCGGACGATTTTTCGTCGAAATATTGCTGCCAACCTCGGTATTTATCTGTTTTTGGCCGTCCCGTTGGTCGCGGTGCACAAAAACAGTCAAAAAAAATCGTTAGTGCGCATGCGCGGACGATTTTTCGTCGAAATATTGCTGCCAACCTCGGTATTTATCTGTTTTTGGGCGTCCCGTTGGTCGCGGTGCACAAAAACAGTCAAAAAAATCGTTAGTGCGCATGCGCGGACGATTTTTCGTCGAAATATTGCTGCCAACCTCGGTATTTATCTGTTTTTGGCCGTCCCGTTGGTCGCGGTGCAAAAAACATCAAAAAAAATCGTTAGTGCGCATGCGCGGACGATTTTTCGTCGAAATATTGCTGCCAACCTCGGTATTTATCTGTTTTTGGCGTCCCGTTGGTCACGGTGCACAAAAACAGTAAAAAAAATCGTTAGTGCGCATGCGCGGACGATTTTTTCGTCGAAATATTGCTGCCAACCTCGGTATTTATCTGTTTTTGGCCGTCCCGTTGGTCGTGCGGTACAAAAACAGTCAAAAAAAATCGTTAGTGCGCATGCGCGGACGATTTTTCGTCGAAATATTGCTGCCAACCTCATTATTTATCTGTTTTTGGCCGTCCGTTGGTCGCGGTGCACAAAACAGTAAAAAAAAATCGTTAGTGCGCATGCGCGGACGATTTTTCGTCGAAATATTGCTGCCAACCTCGGTATTTATCTGTTTTTGGCCGTCCCGTTGGTCGCGGTGCACAAAAACAGTCAAAAAAATCGTTAGTGCGCATGCGCGGACGATTTTTTTTGAAATATTGCGTTCAACCTCGGTATTTATCTGTTTTTGGGCGTCCCGTTGGTCACGGTGCACAAAAACAGTCAAAAAAAATCGTTAGTGCGCATGCGCGGACGATTTTTCGTCGAAATATTGCTGCCAACCTCGGTATTTATCTGTTTTTGGCCGTCCCGTTGGTCGCGGTGCACAAAAACAGTAAAAAAAATCGTTAGTGCGCATGCGCGGACGATTTTTCGTCGAAATATTGCTGCCAACCTCGGTATTTATCTGTTTTTGGCCGTCCCGTTGGTCGCGGTGCGCAAAAACAGTCAAAAAAAATCGTTTGTGCGCATGCGCGGACAATTTTTGTCGAAATATTGCCGCCAACCTCGGTATTTATCTGTTTTTGGCGTCCCGTTGGTCGGGTGCACAAAAACAGTCAAAAAAATCGTTAGTGCGCATGCGCGGACGATTTTTCGTCGAAATATTGCTGCCAACCTCTTTTATCTGTTTTGGCCGTCGTTATCGCGGTGCAAAAACAGTAAAAAAAATCGTTAGTGCCATGCGCGGACGATTTTTCGTCGAATATTGCTGCCAACCTCGGTATTTATCTGTTTTTGGCCGTCCCATTGGTCGCGGTGCACAAAAACAGTCAAAAAAAAATCGTTTGTGCGCATGCGCGGACGATTTTTTGTCGAAATATTGCTGCCAACCTCGGTATTTATCTGTTTTTGGCAGTCCCGTTGGTCACGGTGCACAAAAACAGTCAAAAAAATCGTTAGTGCGCATGCGCGGACGATTTTTCGTCGAAATATTGCTGCCAACCTCGGAATTTATCTGTTTTTGGCCGTTCCGTTGGTCGCGGTGCAAAAAAACAATCAAAAAAAATCGTTAGTGCGCATGCGCGGACGATTTTTCGTCGAAATATTGCTGCCAACCTCGGTATTTATCTGTTTTTGGCAGTCCCGTTGGTCACGGTGCACAAAAACAGTCAAAAAAATCGTTAGTGCGCATGCGCGGACAATTTTTTGTTGAAATATTGCTGCTAACCTCGGTATTTATCTGTTTTGGGGCGTCCCGTTGGTCGTGGTGAACAAAAACAGTCAAAAAAAATCGTTAGTGCGCATGCGCGGACGATTTTTCGTCGAAATATTGCTGCCACCCTCATTATTTATCTGTTTTTGGCCGTCTGTTATTCGCGGTGCAAAAAACAGTAAAAAAATCGTTTAGTGCCTATGCGCGGACGATTTTTCGTCGAAATATTGCTGCCAACCTCGGTATTTATCTGTTTTTGGCCGTCCCATTGGTCGCGGTGCAAAAAAACAGTCAAAAAAATCGTTTGTGCGCATGCGCTGACGATTTTTTGTCGAAATATTGCTGCCAACCTCGGTATTTATCTGTTTTTGGGCTTCCCGTTGCTCGGGGTGCACAAAAACAGTCAAAAAAAAATCGCTAGTGCCAATGCACGGACGATCATTCGTCGAAATATTGCTGCCAACCTCGGTATTTATCTGTTTTTGGCCGTCCCGTTAATTGCGGTGCACAAAAACAGTCAAAAAAAATCGTTAGTGCGTATGCGCGGACGAATTTTCGTCGAAATATTGCTGCCAAACTCGGTATTTATCTTTTTTTCGCCGTCCCAATGGTCGCGGTGCACAAAAACAATAAAAAAAATCGTTAGTGCGCATGCGCGGACGATTTTTCGTTGAAATATTGCTGCCAACCTCGGTATTTATCTGTTTTTTGCCGTCCCGTTTTTCGCGGTGCACAAAAATAGTCAAAAAAATCGTAAGTGCGCATGCGCGGACGATTTTTTGTCGAAATATTGCTGCCAACCTCGGTATTTATCTGTTTTTCGCCGTCCCGTTGGTTGCGGTGCACAAAAACAGTAAAAAAAAATCGTTAGCTTGCATGCGCGGAAGATTTTTTGTCGAAATATTGCTGCCAACCTCGGTATTTATCTGTTTTTGGGCGTCCTGTTGGTCGTGGTTCACAAAAACAGTAAAAAAAATCGTTAGTGCGCATGCTCGGACGATTTTTAGTCGAAATATTGCTGCCAACCACGGTATTTATCTGTTTTTGGCCGTCCCGTTGGTCGCGGTGCACAAAAACTGTCAAAAAAAATCGTTAGTGCGCATGCGCGGACGATTTTTCGTCGAAATATTGCTGCCAACCTCGGTATTTATCTGTTTTTTGCCGTCCCGTTGGTCGCGGTGCAAAAAAACAATCAAAAAAAATCGTTAGTGCGCTTGCGAGGACGATTTTTCGTCGAAATATTGCTGCCAACCTCGGTATTTATCTGTTTTTGGCAGTCCCGTTGGTCACGGTGCACAAAAACAGTAAAAAAAAATCGTTAGTGCGCCTGCGCGGACAATTTTTCGTTGAAATATTGCTGCCAACCTCGGTATTTATCTGTTTTTGGCCGTCCCGTTGGTCATGGTGCACAAAAACAGTCAAAAAAAATCGTTAGTGCGCCTGCGCGGACGATTTTTCGTTGAAATATTGCTGCCAACCTCGGTATTTATCTGTTTTTGGCCGTCCCGTTGGTCGCGGTGCACAAAAACAGTCAAAAAAAATCGTTAGTGCGCATGCGCGGACGATTTTTCGTCGAAATATTGCTGCCAACCTCGGTATTTATCTGTTTTTGGCCGTCCCGTTGGTCGCGGTGCAAAAAAACAATCAAAAAAAATCGTTAGTGCGCATGCGCGGACGATTTTTCGTCGAAATATTGCTGCCAACCTCGGTATTTATCTGTTTTTGGCAGTCCCGTTGGTCACGGTGCACAAAAACAGTCAAAAAAAATCGTTAGTGCGCATGCGCGGACAATTTTTTGTTGAAATATTGCTGCCAACCTCGGTATTTATCTGTTTTTGGGCTTCCCGTTGCTCGGGGTGCACAAAAACAGTCAAAAAAAAATTCGCTAGTGCGAATGCACGGACGATTATTCGTCGAAATATTGCTGCCAACCTCAGTATTTATCTGTTTTTGGCCGTCCCGTAGCCTGCGTGGCAGGCTCTTCTGTTAGGGGGAGGCTTGAATTTTTTTTTGGGGGGGAGCATTGAGGGAGAGCCTGCCGTTAAGCCACTGTATTTTTCATGTTTTGCGGCCGGCAGAGGCCGTAAAATCCTATTGGCTTGTTTTTAATATATGCAAATTTATTTCACGGGGGATTATTTTAATGTTGGAAAATGGCGTCTCTTGTGCAGGAAAATCACAAAGAGCTAATGTCCAAAATTCGGGCAATCGATCCCTATCTCAAGAAAGAGCAAGAGCAAGCTGTTGAAAAACTTCTACTTGGTGAAGATGTCCTTGCCATTTTACCAACAGGTTTTGGAAAAAGTAGAATTTTCCAAACATATTCACGTGTGAAAGATAATGAAATGAATGGTTGTTCGGTTGTTCTCGTCATTGCACCTCTTTCAAGCATTATTGATGACCAGATAACTGTTTTACATTCTTCTGGTTACTCTGCAGCTGACGTTAAATGTTTGCAACAAGAGGATCTGGAAAGATGCGATTTTAAAGTATTATTTGGTTCGGCAGAAAACGTGTTAACGACGAAATTTCAAAACCTCCTTCTTGATCGTCAGTCAGACCTTCATAAGAGAGTTTGTTGCATTGTTGTGGATGAAGCACACACGGTAGAAACTTGGACTGGAAAAAGGTAAACATAAATGTGGTTGCAAACACTGCATCAGAACGTGTATTTGTGTGAATGATTATCCAGAAATTTAGACTTACTTTTATTTTATCTTTTGGTATGTAACAAGGAAAAAACGTTTGCATTCGATAAGAAAACCAAACGATATATTTAGATGTGCGTTTGGAAAGTTGGCTCTCCTTCGTTCTTTTTGCAAAGAAGGTAAATACATAATTTTTTTCTAAAATACAGTGTGAATGTACCTTTTCATTGAAAAATCTATTCCGATCGATTGTCGTGCTCTGAAACTTTACAGGTTTAGTGCTCTTTTATTATCTTTCGCACAAGGTGTTTTATATAAATTGGTTACAAACAGTGTTATTTCTGAAAATTTGCTTCTCTTATCAATAGGTACTCCTGTACTTGCACTGACAGGGACTGCTGATGGAATGACCCAAAAAGCAATATGTGAGCAGTTACTAATGAAAAACCCACATATTATCAACATTAGTCCCAACAGGGAAAACCTAAGATTCTCAGTGCAGAAATACTCAAAAAGTGATATGCACAAACAGCTGGATTGGCTTGTTGAATTGGTAAAAAATGTCATTGACAACTCAACAGAAAAGATACCAAAAACCATAATATTTTGCAATTCACTTAAAGATGTTGCAGTTGTTTTAAATTATCTTCTTCTTAAACTTGGTTTGTATGCTTATGGGAGGTCTAAGAAAAATACTCCTGAGAACTTGGTA